GCCATGGTAATTGATATCCTCATCTAAATAAGATAAGTGATCAAAATGTTAAGATAATTATGAGACTAATTTATTATTGGAAAAAAATTGAATTGAATTCTCTTACCAAATAAAATGGATTAGGTCAAATTTTTGATACCGATAAAATTATACGATTAATTTAATTGTTTTAAATTTGATCTAGAAAGTTTCTGGAAAAGTTTCAAAATTTACCCTCAATTCTTGGAATTTAAAATTTAATTAAAAAGTTTTAATTTTCTATTATTAAATTCTAAAAGTCTAGTATTTTTGAATAGTCTAAAATACACACTCATGGATTTTATTAATAAGATTAGTTAAGTGTTTAATTAAAAGAGAATTAATATATCCATAATATGGTTTAAATTTAATTAAATTAAAAGTTAAATTTATTAAAGGATTAAACCACTTAGTATTTTAAAACTTTAAAATACACCCTTATATTATATAAGATTAAAAGTTTGATTATATATGTATAAGTAAAAGTGAGTCTTAGTGTTAGTAGGCATCATTTACAAAGCTGGTCTATAAGGGGTGTTTAAGAAAGCGGCCTGTATAATGATCGTCATTGGATATCTACTCTTACCCACCGCACTCTTAACTAGTGGAGGGTCATTAGCCGAACGGGTAGGATAGGACACTAAATCCTTATTAAAAATATAATGAGTTATAAAGTAACTAAACATTTTTATAAATTCCCAAATCTTAGTTACTTTAGGAAAATGTGAATTTGATGCTAATCCATGAAATTGCACATTGCACCTTATCGGTCAGTTAGTGGAGCGTGTGTGGTTAACCGACACACTAAAGTGGACTAATGAATGATGACAGTGGGTGGGTCGTAAATTATAGTTGATCGATGGAGCGTGTGTGGTTAACCAACACATTGATTAGATGATAAATGACATCGAGAGTACCAAGCTAATTTCCATGGTTATTCACACCTTGTTTGTGATCCTCGGTATCCCAGTTACAAACTTGAAAGGCATAATCGAGATTAAACATGACATTAAAAAGTTCAATGAATCTAAAAAGATCTAGGAGTTTCATTTAAAACCTAATTCATTTAAAATTTCATTTTCATGGTGGAATTGGTAAATCGTCATTTACCTACCTTCAAATAATTTACAATTGGATTACGACATTCCTCTTCCGAATTGTGAATTATTGTGTTGGGTCCTAGCCTTAATATTTTATTTAGGTGTTATATTAAGGATTGTATCAACTAACTTGAATTTCTCCCTTTTGTATATGTCTAGTTCTAACAACTATAGTTTTCCTCAATCCCTTGGAAAAGGCTTTCCTCATGAAGATGATCTTCCACTTGTCGATCAAGGTGAAAGATCAATCCCTTCTTCGTGCATTGGTGGAACTGGAAATCATACTTCTCTTCCTCCACCTGCTCCATTGATTCTCCCTGACCCATGTTTTCGTCGACTTGAAAAGTTCAAGGTCACTCAAGCCCTATTGGCAAGCAAACACAAAGATGGAAGGTCTGTGTGTGCACACATCTTAAAGATGAAGTCACACATTGATAGACTAGGGATGTTAGGTGTTGTTTTCTAGAGAAAGCTGTTGTTTACTTGATTCTTCAATCACTTCCTGAGTCGTATAGTCAGTTCGTTAAGGACTACTATTTGACAGATAACGACGTGACCCTATTTCTCATTCTCTCAAGTTTCTCTCAAACTTAGCCTCATTTTCCCTTATTTTTTTTAAGTTTCTGGAGAAGCCCTGAGGTCCCTACAAGCCCGAAAACTAGTAGTTATCATGCTAAAGTTCTGCCAGTGCAATTTCTAGACTTTTTTTCCGAAAAAATCTCTGCAAGTAAAGCTACACTTATATTGCTTTCTTTGTAACTTATATTTATATTCATAGTCATTATTATGAATCTATAAATAAAATTTATCAGTGATTCCAAGTCATTATTGTAGCACCTGATTCAATGTATTTTTCATTTTGACCCTTGGTTTATAATTAATTTGCAAATTTGGTCCCTAGGGGCATTATTGTAATTTTTGGGAAGGATGAACTCACTAAGCCTTCTGCTTATGGGTTTCAATTTATGTTTCATGTACTTCTGGTTTGAATGGGAAGAGCTCGAGATGATCGCATCGCACATACAATGATTTTCCGCTTTATTAACTCTAATGTATTTTGGATGATTATTGATATACTATGACTTTCTTATGGGTTTGATTAATACGTCTGGTTGATATTTATTTAATATAAAAACAAAAATTTTGGTTCTGGGTTTTTGGGACATTACAATTCTACTAATTGATCTACTTATGGGGATGATGTCTAGGTTGGATTTAGCGAGGTGTATAAAGTAGGATTTCAAAACAGTATACTCTGTATACCATATAGACCCTACCTCTAATGTGATCCTACGTGCTTATTCCTTACTTGATAGATCTTGATGTGGATATGGAGATTAGTGAGGAATCTATGCTATCACTAATCGCCAAAAATATAAAACTAAAACTTAGTGGTATGAACCTAGGTCACATCAAAGGAAAAGCTAAGTACTGAAGCGAAGCGCTGCCTAACTTTCCAGTCATCGGTTTTTAACAAGTGAGTGCATAGTTACTTTCATCTTATACATAGATATGAAATATTTAGATAATTGAATGCTATATGTGCCTATTATCTTCAATATGTGTTAGATGAACCTACATGACATGAGTTTACTCGATTTAATTATATAAATGATTTAGTACTTATAATACATATATACATATCAGGTAGTGATGGGCGATAAGAGATGAGAGATGAGAGATGATTAGGAGATTCCATGACTTTTACTTGCAATGTTTGTGATGTAGTCATGTAATAAAGTATAGATGACGCCCACCGGTGTATTGAAGACAGTCTTGTGGAACACTATGTTAGATTATGTGTCTAAGCCCATAACTATAATTGATATATACTTGAATTGATAGTAGCACAGTCCTTTTGGTTACCCTCAAACCTAGCTTTTATCATCTTTTCCCTGACTCTCTCAACCACCTTTTCTTTGAGTGTTCATATCCATCTCAAATTTAGCATGAGATAACAACCTTGATAAAGCCCAAAAATGTTTCTGGCAAGTGGTTTGTCATCATTGACCTCCTCAAGCAGGCCATTAGAGGTAAGTCCATTTGGTATGTTATTCGTTGTTTTGTTCTTGCAGGTATTGTCTACCATATTTGGATTGAAAGAAACAATAAGATCTTCAAGAATAAGAGAAGAACCTATGAAACTATGGCGAAGACTATTATTGATGAAGTTCGCTCGAGACTTATGAGCTTCACTCTCAATGCCTTCCCAAATGTTGCTAAAGCTAAAATCATTTGGAGGCTTCCTATGAACAACAAAAATAGTGCCACTCAACATCCGCCTTGACTTTGTGTCCAAGGTTTATTTCCTATTTTTTCCTTTGTGGTTGGTTATGTTGTGTATTGGGTTTTAGAGCATGCTCTTTCCCCTTTTAGTTGATTTTAGTCAGTTAGGTTGTTTTGCTTCCTGGGGCTGTTTTAGGGGACTTTTTCTTTTCTATAGGCGGGGAATCTTCAGCCTGCTATTGTATTTCTTTTATAATAAAATTTAATGGACGTACCGCCCTCCTTTACCCTTTTTTTGTATTTGCGTGTTGTGTCACGATCCATATATGAATTCTAAAATGTTAAAATGTGTTTGTGTATAAAAGGCATAAAAATAATGGGTAATATGTAACATAACACAATGTTATAATTGTATTACATGAAAACACAAAATTTTACATGACTTTATATTAAACCATTGTACATGATGCAAAAACATGTCAAAATATATTAATTCATGTTTGATGATGCATGTCTTATGTGTGTTTAAACGGATAAATTCATATATGATACATGTAAGATGTGAAACAAGAATTTTTAAAACTCATACAAGAAAAATGTAAGTTGTATGCCTTTGTCGAATTGTTGGGTGTAGTCCAAAATAGTCCACTCCAAAACTACCCAATATGATATATATATATATATATATATATATATATATATATATATATATATATATATATATATATATATATATATTATGTTGGGTGAAAGTTATTGTATGCATTTGTACATGCTAATATGATATATCTTATGTTGGTTGGTAGTTATTATATGCACTTTAACCTACTAACCGATTTTAATAGGTGATAATAACTTAATTGTAAATAATTTCAAATTATTACTTAAATATGTAAATACTTTTCTTAAACTTGACTTTGATTTAAACCAAAATGTTGATCAGATTACTCAATACAAAAAAAATAATAAATAAATAATTTAAGACATTTCATGAAAATGCAAAAACTAGATATGTATGAAAAAAATAGTGAGATATGTGTAAAAACATCCAAAAGACAGGGAAAAAGCATGTTTTATAAACTTAAACTTGAGTACTTGACTCATGAATCATGATAGCTATGAATTTTATTTTTGTATTCAGACTCATTATATGTTTTGAATTATTCTTTTATTCCAACTTGATAAAAATCATTTTCAAACCAACTTGCAGCACTCATTAAACATCCGGCCAGCCTTCAAAAAATACTAAACATGGTACACATTTTTTATATAAAAAGAAAACATGATAACTACTATCTATTCTAAATAAACTACAATCATTACAATTACAAGTTGAAAAACAAAAGCACATTATACTTTTGAGTTTTGATTAAACCACTTTGTATTGTTAAAAAAATGTAGCATACTCAGATCGAATCAAGATGATTAATATAAATGAAGCCAACACATACAAAATACATACATATCTAAAGTAGACACACATACAAAACACATATGCATGCATCTAACACATATTGCATATACATACAAAATACATGTACATACATGCACACATACTTACATATATATATCTACGTACACATAAAAACGGTTTTAAGTGTCATATTTATCAGAATCACACATACAACAAACCAACATAAACATCTGAAGTGATTTTTAGAGCACTCCAGAAACAGCATTAACGAATTGTACATGGACACCAAAACTTGCTGAAACAAAGTCAAAGACTCTTTTGATCTCAGGATCACTCCTTGTAAAATTCAGGTTCCAAAATTGGTACCTAGGATTCTGTTCACCAATCATTTAAAAACCATCAAACAAGTGTTAACTTTTATGAAGCTTAATCAATTAAACTCAAGGGACCAGAACCGTAAATTATGATAAGGTTACCTTTACAAGTTCAATGAAGGTAACCTGAAGCCCCCATGGGTGTGGGAGTTTAGTTATCAATCTCTCCAATAACACTCTCGTTATCTGTTCCTTAATCGCCTCCTGCTTACACAAAAAGAAAAACATATATTATGTGCTTTGAAAAATCTATCTGTTTTGTTTTGTTCTGTTCTGTCATGTTATGTCATGTGGGGTTGTAATTAATTAACTAAGAGAAAGTGGGTCTCACCTCTTTTATCTCAACAAAGAAGTGAAGCAAAATGAAGGAAAAGAAATGCGTGTGGTTGTTGGGATAACGCAATTGGTCTGCAACCGCATTGAAGAAGAGGTAACGGCCTTCCCAATTTAGGTCGCGTATTAATGTCCTGAAGATGTCCAAAGCCGCACCCGCAAAATAGCCAGTCTTTGAGACAAACCTAGTTATGGAGGCTTCATGAGAAGCGGTGCTCACTTGCAGCTGTTGGATGGCCTGGGAGATAACATGAAAAAACATAAAACATTATTTTTGTACCCGAGTTATTTTTCCAACAACCCCTGGTTGGCCTGCTCACACTGCTCTGTCATGTCATGTTCTTTCCCATCATGTGAGATGTTAATCAGATAAATAGTGACCCACTATAGGAGATTAATCCACGTTGGAACTGAAAGTCCCAAAACCCTTTGACTATGCCCTAGTGGCAAAAAGGTAAATTATGGTGTGAAGAATCTAAAGGGAACTTTTGATTGTACCTTTGTTCCAATGTAAAGTACAAGTGAGTTCATTAGAGGAACATTGTAGTATGTTCCGGACCTTTCAGCTTCTCTTGATGAAAGAAGTAGTTTGTACTTTAATCCATAAAGAAATGAAGACATTTCCGGCCTTGTCTGTACCAATAACAAAAAAAGAAATGCGAGTAATATTAGAAGAGCCGATAAGAAAAAGAAAAAAAAAAGGATTTTACAATTACTAGTCAAAATCATGTATATACCATGAAATACTCATCAACATCATTTTTCATATTGTTGGCTTTCAAAGCAGCAGCAAACTCAAAGTCAATGCAAGGTGATTGACTTATCTCAGCTAGCAGATCCACCTAAAAAAAAGATATATATTGCGTTTGGTAATTAGTTCTTGCACCAAGACTATGGTTGTGTTTGTTGCATGGGATATAAAGTTGCAACTTTTGTCTCGTTGACATCAGTCACAGTTTCAGTTCAATACATGTCAAACACAATATGTAATAAATGTAGTGAGTTAAGATAAGTCAAAGACCTTCAAATTGGGAGTGTTGGGGTCCGGAAGACTCATGTTAGCTGGGAAAGTGCTAAGAATTATGTTTCTTAGTTGGACACAACGTGAAGCAATGGCTTCACAGAAACTGAAATTATAATAGCAAACAAAGTCCGGGAAATCATGAACCACCACCAAAAGCACTCTCAGTGTGCCTTTGTATAGTATACGGACCTGAAGAAAGAAACATACATATTAATTTCTGATTTCTAAAGCTGAAAATAAGGGCTAAAGGTAACAAATAGCACTGTAGTTTCATTGCAAATATTTCTATTATAGTGTTGTACTTTCAGTTTTTGTTTTTTTTTTTTTTTTTCTCATTAAGGAATTGTACGTTGAAAAATCTATCGAATTATAGCAGAGTGAAACTTGTTTTGTATCTGGATGACTTTGCTATAACTGGATAGATTTTTCAAAATGCAATGGTGTAATATGAAGAAATAAAAGTAGAAGGCTACAATAAACAAATCAATGATGAAAGATAGATTTTAATGCAAACCGGATCTGTAAGTTCCCCTGTTCTCAAGAAGGGTTCCATGAACATCAATAAGTCTAGCAGCAAGCGTTTGAAGTATGGCCATCCTTTTTGACCATTGGCAGCAAAGAGTTTTGGCATGAAATCTTTGTGACTAATTAGCTCAACCCATGGAAAGCTGAAAACAATTTATTCAAAAATTTGTTGTCAAATATTAAATATGTAGATATATATATGCTTGTCTTTTCTATGTTATCAAATATTAATCTAGACGAACCTGAATGCAGGAACTTTGAGTGGCTGCAAGGCGTGAAATGAATTTGATAGAGCAGCATACATCTGTACAACTCAATGGAATTAGTTACAAGACACAAAACTTATGCATGAAAATTTTCAAAATAATTAAAATAAAATTGAAAATACCTGAAAATTTGCATCGGTAGAGTCGAGGGTATGAAGGTGATTGAAAAAGTTGATGAATAGCCTGAAATATGGTGTAGAAATAAATGATTCTTTCTTTTCCTCTGCATCCTTTTTAACAAATCTCACAATCACCGCTAACACCTGTTCAACAAAATGTGTACCCAAATTACAATCGACAATCGACAAACCATAAACTTTTTTTTTTTAAAATGAACTTTAGTTTTAAATTCGTACCTTGGAGAAAAGAGAGAGCTTGCTATATCCCTGGTCAACAGGGAGAAACTAAAAACAAAGAACAAAAATGGCAAGTTGATGAAATATACATTTGATTATATATATTACATATATAAAAAGGAAGTTTTAACTCCTACCCTCAAGATTGAAAAGACAAGGTCTGCATATATATCAATGACAAGGAAAGATGATAGATTTGCTTCTTCATTGGTCCCTTGAGAAGATAGATAGTGTGACACACCAAGCTCCTAATAATATCACAAGCGATCAAGATATGTTTTTTTTTTTTTCCTTATAACTGTGTGTGTGTGTGTGTGTTTTTGAGAGTAAAGGACAAGGGACATGAGTTGTCAGAATCACCATAAGGCGGCGGAAAAAGCGGTTTGGCATATCATCAGCTCTTGACAATACATTTTGATGAAGTTCTAGAATAAAATGAGCACGAGCTGCATCATTGACACCATGGCGATCACGTATCCGACACCAATCATTAAATATCTTAGAAACCTGATTTTACAAGAATCAAATAATGATGAGATTCGTAAATTAAGGTCTTAAAAATGAAATATCATGTAAGATGAGAATAATTAGGAAGTTAGTGAAAGAGTGTTAATTAATTACTACCTGCCAATGGAAAGTAGGAGGATCTGGTTCAGAAGATATAAATGCATCGTCATCATCCTTGCTGGCCACAGGATGCTTAGTCACCTGTTCCATTCAAACATAAACAATTAGCTTCAAATTGGATATCATTAACAAGAATCATATTAGCTTTTCTTTCTTTAGGTTGTTTGAAAATTGGTTGACCTTGTCATTTTGTGATTTTGTTCCACTGGAAAATGTTCTATTCCCAGTTTAACCAGTAAGTTTTGGCGATATGGCATGTATTTGACACATCATTAAAGGTTAAGGTCATAGCAATTAGGAGCAAGATCAAACCTTGGATAAACTGTGAATGACATTGTGAAGTGAAGACAATACTCCTGCATCACTGAGCTTCAGTGTTTCAACAAGGGAGATGAAAAACTCTATTGTCGCCCCTGTGCATCATATAATAGTTAAAACCATAGCTGTGATGAATGAAATTTTTTATGGAAAAAAAAAATTACAGTTAAATATGTTTCGAACTTCTGTTTTTGAAACTCCTTAGCATTTATCAGACGCTTATAAGCAAAGAGTAAAATATACCTATCTATTTGGCATTCATAAATCTTTAGATTTGATGTAGTAAGTAAAATAAGTGAACAATTAAAAGGCATGAATTTTACAAATCTTGAACATTTTAAAAAGAAGTTGCAAAATAAAAGTGAAGGGAAGTGTCATGAAATGCAATTAATTATCAGACATTGACACTGACACTCTTTTATCTGATGTTTAATAACTTCAAATTTGATATGAATACTATAATCTTCAGTATCTGTAATGCATGTTTAGACATACATACCACTCTTTCCTCCATCAATAAGTCTGGCCATGTAAGCATCATACTCAGTGAGGTTCAGTAATTCCCTGCGAATTAGGCCAACTGTAATATCTTTGTTGAATCTCCTCTCATCATCAGAATGCACTACCTGATTGCAGAAATGAATTGTCAAATCAGTAGAAAGTAATAAAAAAAATATATACACACCAATAACTGAATGCAACAAATGATGTAACATGATTATGGTCATACCCAACTAGTGAGTTCCCTCCCCACAAGCTTGCTAACATCACACACACCAGCTAAGATGTCAAGGTCAGCATTGACATGTACATAGTTGGCTGCATTTTCATATAAACTCTCGAAAACCTACATAAAATTTGGAAAAATTATTTTGTAAGAAAGAAGAGCATCCACAATTCCATATAATAGCAAGGGGTATTATATATACCGTTTGAGCCACAGCCAAGGCAGCCTCATCCTTGTTGATGCATCTAAGAACAACCACAGGAACCTCACAAACAACAGACTGAAAACAACCAAACAACCATCCTCTTGTTTTGTTATTTATATTTCATTGCTATATAAAAATATTAATATGAACAAGAATGAAGGAAGAAAATGATTTTGGTATGCAGATTTCGGATACTTACTTTGGTTTACAGTTTAAAATTTGATCGTTATACACAAGTAATGAAAAGGTTAAAGTAATTTATTAATGAAAATGAAGATATAATACCTGAATTTCAGCTTGTTTAGCATCTTTACCAATCAAAAATTCAAGCTGAAAGAATTGATAAGGAAAATAAGTTTCTGTAAGCTCTACAGCACATTATTATAAATAAAAAAAATATGCATTGTTTCCATTCAGAAATTCTAGATAAGCAAGAATTCAAGCAAATCGAATACAATATCCAACCTTCTTTACAAGAACATGATATTCATCCAATGCAGCACCAGTAGTTAATGAAGGTTTGCTTATAAAGTGCCTGGAACTTGAAGGTGGAAGAAACGTCTGTTGTTGGGCTCTCATTTCCTAGAAATTCAAAGCAAAGATTCAGAAGTTGAAACTCATTAACTTGAACACTTGAATAAAGAATGTTACTTACATTAGCAACATTATAAGTCCCTGATACATGTGATTGAGGAGCTGGAACCATACGAACTTGTGGTTGATGAAGGGATACAAATTGGGCAGCTTGAGGATGAAATGCTTCTGGAAAAGCACCTATACGACTTTGTGCAAATAGGCTTGGATCAATTGTTGTAGTTCTAGAACTTTCTATTTGCTTCCTTCTAACTGAAAGTTGCTGAGCAATTTCATTTTTTACTATTACTAGCCCCTGTATGACACGTGCATCGATATGAACATAAGATGCAAAGAAAAACGAATGTATATAACACCAACAACAAGATTAAGAAATTAAAACCGTTTCAATTGCAGCCTTTTCAATTGATGCACATCCCAACTCAAGGTTGTCATCAATAACACGTTGCATGGCATGTTCAAGGGATTCACTTGCAATATTCAAACCCTGTAGAGAGTTTCTTAGCTGACTTGACATCTTCTTACGAAGAGGTTCCTGCAGAAAGGAGAAGATCACACTAACTTTTTGTCAGAAAATAATACACACATGAACAAAGAAGAAAATGACTACAAGTATAAAGTTAACAATGAACCTTGCTAGTAACATAAGACAGATTTCCAGCCAGGCAAACAATGATGGAGGATGATGTACTATGGATATAGTTCTCATCAGAATCGTTGTCATACTCCTGTTAATTGATGTACACAAAACCTTCGATCAGTATTTGGAGGGTTCAAAAGCATCCCCATAGAAAGAACTAACTGAATGAGAATGACACCTTTAAAACAAGTGCCATTGTTGTTTGAGTTGCTATGGTAACACTCTTCTGAACAATAGTAGAAAGGATTTCTTTAATAGCCTTATCCATTATCACTGGAAGCAATCTGCAAAAGTAATCAGTAAGAACACAATCAATAAGTTTTCCAGCAAACAATTTTTAATTATCTAGTTGCAATGAAAAGAGAAAAGTGGAACCTTTGGAAAAGCATGTTCATATCTTCAACCAAAGGAACAGCAGGGAAATGAACTGGAGCAGCATGCTATCAACCAAAATAGAAGGCATTAGAAAATCAGATAGTGAAATAGCTTAGATAATATCAAAAACGTCTATAGAAAACAAACCTGGTATAATATATGTGAATCCCCACCCTGATAAGATGTAACAGCAGCTTCATGTGGTAGTTCAACTTGATTTACAGCAGATGTTACAGTATTTTGCTGAGATGACCCAACATCTTTGTTGCAGAAATCGGGGTTTCCTTCAATTTTCCTAACTCTGTCCTTCAGAAGAGATGTTGGAGTAACTGCCTTCATGTCCAATTCAAGATTCTTGAACAATATCTAAAATGGAAAACCGACATGAGAATATGTATCTGTATGTGTGTATATACACCATTAGAAAATCACAATTGTACATGTGGTACACATCGACTCAAACGTACTTCTATTGAAAACTTGAGATTTGCTTTGAGATTTGGCATTGCATGTATTTCAGCAAGTAATCCAAGAATCCCCATAGTCCACGGATTCGGTGGTTGATATGCTAGACTTCCTTTGCAAGGTTCCAAAACCTATAGCAAGTGAAGTGAAAAAAAAAAAAAAAAAAAAAAACAATACCAATAAAATAACCATAATGATTTGGAGAATAAACATAAATCAATGGAGTTATACATACCTTGGAGGTAAATGGAATTATCCCAATCATTAATCCCTTTTCATAAGCCTACACAAGTTTATAAGTAAACTTATATGTCATATATCGCACCTAAGTCAAAAAGATGAAAAGAAACAAAATCTACCTCTATAATTAAAGATTTTGGATCAATATGCTTAGACAATAAAGCTCTATTTCTACCGATTGTAATCATTCCGAGCCATCCCCCAAGATTCTTGAGCAACAGACGCTGCTCAGAACTTGTCTGTATCAGCTCAGACCTTAACAGAATCTGTTGCATTCCCAAATAACAAATTACTCCGGGTTTATATACCATATTTAAATCCATCAATGAATAATGTAGAAAAGAATACCTTGCAATTTTTATAGGTTTCTTGAACTACTTCTTCCATAAGCTGTTTTGAATGAGCTTTCTCAAGAAAACTCATAAACAGCTTGTGAAAATTTGGTTCGCTGCTTGCTCTGTCAGCATGATCAATGAGTCATTCAAAAAAAAAATCCAATTCCTTGCATAGTGATAATGAAAGATCATACAGTCTCTCACCTTTTCATAACAAGATATTGTGCAAACCAGGGATAATACGGTTCCTCCAGAATCTTGGTAAACTCTTCTACTTTAGCTTCAATATTTGCAATGGATAAAGTATTAAAAATGAATGAGATTCTATCCCGAGTTATGGATGGTGGGGCCTGTAAAGAAGATGCAGATAAATATAAGTGAAGAAATCTTTTTATAATTTTATAGAAATGATACATTGATACTTACACAAACATTGAGGTAATATATAATAACCATGAAATATATGGAACTCAATTTAATAAAACAAGCTAAGATTACAAACCTGTACGGGTGTTTCTCTTCTTTGAGCAACATCAAGAAGTGTACTGCTGCTTGCTGAGACAAAGCCTGCAATTCTCAAACATTTTTAAACACCATCAACAAAAGGTAACTGCAATATGTTCAGGGGATCAAAGAAAAGACAAGAAACCACAAAACCACAAGTACAGAAAACCTACTTGTTGAGGCAACTGTTCTAGATGGAAGACGAAACTCTGGAGATGAAGCCATTAGTGCTGAAGATATAGCTACACTTTGAGGCTGCATGTTAAGAGGATTAAGCAGAAACAATATCAACAACAAATTCTGAAAAATGTGGATCAGCTACCAATGACTGGATAAAGCTGATATAGCTAAACTGACAGCATGTTACTTGCCTTCTGGATATTTGCTGAATCACTTGAGGTAGCAACCGAAGTAGTTAAGTTTTGATTTGTGTGACTGGATTCAGTCAAAGATGGTTTTTGTATTTCATCTGATTGAATCTCATTTCTCTGTTGAAGCTTTGGTGGAGAAGATACTTGAGAACCAAGATGTTCACCATCAGATCCAGTCAAATGGGAAGATGAATCCGGCATCTACACAGAAAACAATTTTGTAGGATGCATATATATATCAATCCACCATAGTCCAAAAGAAAACTTAAGAATTGTGGGCATGTATCAAGAAAGATCATTCAAAGCAAAATACACATAAAACTTACCACAACATTTTCTGGTGGTGGGATAGAGCTACATTGATTGTCGGCTTCATCTGATTCTGGATGGGTTGATGAAGTTCTGCCAAGTGTCTGTTCAATAATGGAAACAAGATCAGAATGAGTACCCTGTATATGAGAGATCTGTAAGACTTGTTGGCAGAATTCTGGAAACTCAATCAAGCGATCCACAAAAGTTTCCAATGCCTTTGTCCCAAAAATAAATATCTGCACAAAGATAATGTTGTATAGTTAAATAAACAATAGCCTTCAGTCTAGCAACAACCATTACTGGAAAGTGATACTAACTTTGGAATCTGCAGGTTCATGTAATGCATCCAAAACGGATTGTAAGGCAATGCTCAGTGTAGAATCGCTCACAACTTGATTCTTGATAAGTAATCCTGCAGGAAAAAATATTAGAAGTTGTGTGTTATATGTTGAATTATTACCAAAATGTTTCAGTTTTGACTAAATCTTATGAGTCCTCACCAAATAGAACAGCAGAAAGATTAAATTGTTCATCCGAGTATGTGTTGAAAGACGTTTTCACTTGAAGCAGGTTGCTGATCATATCCTCGAATATCAATTGCTCCCTGTGAGGTTGCACAAAGGTGAACCATAAGTACTTGACAAATCATGAGATACTAAAAGATTGCTTCTGAATGGTATTTTGTTGGATACAACTTAATAGAAATAGAATCCATCAGTAACTTTTTATAAACTACGAGAAAATTTAAATATGCTTATTTTAAAATATCTAATATTGAATTATGCAACCGAATCCGGTGCAAAATACATCAGTAGCCTTCCAAGTCATAGCTCCCTCCAAGATGCACAACCATAATCATAATACTAATAACTTTCAAGAGAAACACATTTAAGTTTTTATGCTATCCAGAGTTGGTAAGAATTTTGAAAAAGTAGGGCACGAAGAAGGATAAAATCGAGTCAGGTATGCTTAATTTCAGACCCAAAGAACATTTATCACCACTACTTAATCATAGACCGCAAACCTCTATAGACTCAATCACCTAAAGGCCTCCAGGGAAGCTTTATGTGTTCTCTTTTGACAATATATTGGCAGGGATATTGTATTCACAAAACATAAACCCTAGAATACTAAGGTTAACAAAAACAAAAACTCAGACAACACTTCTTTAAAACATGGTAACGAAGTGTAGTTAACCATCTCCCCACGACCCTATTAACCTGCATAATGTAATTTGAATGGGGAAAGTATGTAAGTGTGTTCTTTGTAAGGTAATGACCTCAATTTATACACAGCGCTAAGCTACGGAAAGGAAACTAAATCAGTTTTAAGTATGGTAACTAGATTAAATCAAGAAATCCTAATTCATATAGGCATTCTATCTAACACTCCTCAAGTCGGAGTAACGGTCTCCTAGTTGTACAAACAAAATCTATGTATGCTTTCTTTAATGGATTTTTTGTTCTTATATGCAAAGGTTGGAAGTATATGTTCCCATGTATGGTCTTTGATCAGGTGGCTGTCAACTTCAATGTGCTTGGTCCTCTCATTGGATACTTCATTCTTTTGGTTTCATGAATCGTTGATTGGCTATCACATCATTTCATATGACACGTCTCCCATAGCTCTATATCGTGTGTTGTTTCTTGTTTTTCCAATAGCTAAATTACACAACAAATACACAGTACCCCATATAGCCCAACAGTATCTGGCGCTGGTGTTGACATGGTGCTCCTTAGCCCAAGTGGTCAAGGGTTCAAGTCTTGTTTGGGACTATGATGTAGTTTAAAAGTAGATTAGAGTGTACATTAGTGTGTGTGTGTGTGTATCATGTGTTGTTTCTTTTTTTAGCCTTAAGATTACGTCAAAATATGGAGAGTTTTATCCAATATCGTATATTGAATGAACTAGCTCAAAACACTTATCGAAAAATGATATAAGTATCTTAATAGATAGTGGACTACAAACCATACAAATCTCCTTGTAGATATCGAAAATCTCCCATGATTTAAGGGACTACTTGCGACCATAATACACGACACGATAGACATACCTTAGATATCTCCTCCTCGATAACAAACCCTAGTTGCTTCGTGTATACCTCCTCCTCGATAACGACATTAAGGAACAACTAAGGATATACCATTTAATCAGATCTAGAAGATTATTTCTATCTATTGACTTTTCTGGTGAAGTAATTATCTCCAGTTATATGAAATGATAAGATACGAAAACTAATCAATTCTATATAAGATAACTAAATCAAATCAAGAAACCCTAAATCATTAATTCAATTGAAACAAAGGTAACCTATTATGGGGGATCTCAGCATTTGCTCTAACAACCAACGTGCCTACTTTCTCATATTATCAACCACTACCATTTCTTCCCACTTAATCATAGTGTATGATCAGGAAGCCAATGTGCATAAATAAGATGGATTAGCAAAGAACCTAAAATCTCAAATTTTAACATATTCTCATATGAAAAAAGGCAAGGGAAGATTGTTAATGATAAAAAATGGATAATGAAAAGTAAAACCTTTTTTCAGAAGATCCCTTGAACTGTGTAAGCATTTGAACCATTTCGTCAACTGTCAATTGACCAGAGAACATCTGTTGGAAATAAGCATTGGCCTCTGTGTTTATATGATCTGCATCAACTTCAACTGTTGAAGAATCAGGCTCATCACTAATGTTCTCTATCATTGGACAATCGTCTGTAGACGTTATGCACAAATTTTCCATTTCCTTTGAAAGTTGATTAGAAGAGGGCAATGCAGTATCTTCTTGAAGGACCTACAAAAAGATATGGATTAATTCAATAGATATAAATATAAACAAAGGTAATTAAATAGTAAGTCAACCATGTTGATCGGGTAAACCTTTGGAGAAGTAGGAGCTTCCTCCTGAAAAAGATCCTGAGTTCCAGATTTATGTGCCCTGTCAGAAGGTTCCTGAATGCCATGTTCGCCCTCCTTTAGGGATCTAACTTGTTCCTGAGAGGGTAAACATGTAAATGTCATGTTCTTGAAACACACAGAAGTAAAGTGCCCAGATAACATCACTAAGCTCCACAATTATTCTCATTTGGCTCAAAGAACATATCTTCATGTGTACTAAGAAAGATCATTCAAACCAAAATACACATAAAACTTACCACGACATTTTCTGGTGGTGGGATAGAACTACATTGATTGTGGGCTTCATCTGATTCTGAATGGCTTGATGAAGTTCTGCCAAGTGTCTTTTCAATAATGGAAACAAGCTCAGAATGAGTACCCTTTAGATGAGAGATCTGTAAGACTTGTTGGCAGAATTCTGGAAATTCAATCAAGCGATCTACAAAAGTTTCCAAGGCCTTTATCCCAAAAATAAAGATCTGCACAAAGACAATGTTGTATAGTTAAATAAACAATAGCCTTCAGTCTAGTAACAACCATTACTGGAAATCAACACTAACTTTGGAATCTGCAGGTTCATGTAATGCATCCAAAACGGATTGTAAGGCAATGCTCAGTGTAGAATCGTTCATAACTTGATTCTTGATAAGTAATCCTGCAGGAAAAATATTAGAAAAAATTGTGTGTTATATGTTGAATTGTTACCAAAATGTTTCAGTTTTGAGTAAATCCTATGAGTCCTCACCAAATAGAATAGCAGAAAGGTTAAACTGTTCATCGGAGTATGTGTTGAAAAACTTTTTCACTTGAAGCAGGTTGATGATCATATACTCAAATACCAATTGCTCCCTGTGAGGTCACACAAAGGAGAAGCATAAGTACTTGATAAATCATAAGATACTAAAAGATTACTTCTGAATGGTATTTTGTTGGGTACAACTTAAAAGAAATAGAATCCATCAGTAACTTTTTATAAACTATGAGAAAAATTAAATACGCTTCTTTTAAAATATCTAATATTGAATTATGCAACCGAATCCTGTGCAAAATACAACCGTAGCCTTGCAAGTCATAGCTCCCTCCAAGATTCACAACCATAATCATAATACTAATTACTTTCAAGAGAAACACATTTAAGTTTTTATGCTATCCAGAGTTGGTAAGAATTTTGCAAAAGTAGGACATGAAGAAGGATAGAATCGAGTCAGGTATGCTCAATTTCCATTTCGAACCTGTTTACCAAAAACTTCCTATATTTGTATTCTTTAAAGCACAGTCTACCGATTTTGAAGGAGAACAAATCATGCAAAGCAAAGATACACTTCATGCTTTTCAAAAATCCTCATCCGACCTAGCAACCAATATCTTCCACTCACAGTGATCATATATTTCTTTCAATTTTAGCAAACCAAAGAAAGAAATGTGGCTTTTTGCTTCAGATCTAAAGAGCATTTCTCACCACTACTTAATCATAGACCTCAAGCCTCTATAGGCTCAATCACCTAAATGCCTCCAGGGAAGTGTTATGTATTCTCTTTTGACAATATATTGGCTGGGATATTTTATTCACAAAACATAAACCCTAGACTACTAAGGTTAACATAAACAAAAACTCAGACAACACTTATTTAAAACATGGTAACGACGTGTAGTTAAACATCTCCCCATATGCCCTATTAACCTGCATAATGTAATTTGAATGGGGAAAGTATGTAAGTGTGTTCTTTGTAGGGTAATGACCTCAATTTATACACTGCGCTAAGATACAGAAAGAAAACTAAATCAATTTTAAGTATGGTAACTAAATTAAATCAAGAAATCCTAAATCATATAGACATTCTATCTAACACTCCTCAAGTTGAAGTAATTCGGTGTCTTAATTGTACAAACAAAATCTATTTATGCTTTCGTTAACGGATTTTTTGTCCTTATATGCAAAGGTTGGAAGTATATGTTCCCATTTATGGTCTTTGATCAGGTGACCCTCAACTTCAATGTGCTTGGTCCTCTCATTATCAACTTCAACGTGCCTACTTTCTCATATTATCAACCACTACCATTTCTTCCCACTTAATCATAGTGTATGATCAGGAAGCCAATGTGCATAATAAGATGGATTAGCAAAGAACCTAAAATCTCAAATTTTAACATGTTCTCATATGAAAAAAGGCAATGGAAGATAGATAATGATAGAAATGGATAATGAAAACTAAAACCTTTTTTCAGAAGATCCCTTGAACTGCATAAGCATTTGAACCATTGCATCAACTGTCAATTGACCTGAGAACATCTGTTGGAAATAAGCATTGGCCTCTGTGTTTATAGGATCTGCATCAACTTCAACTGTTGAAGAACCAGGTTCATCACTAATCTTCTCTATCATCGGACAATCGTCTGCAGACGTTATGCACAAACTTTCCATTTCCTTGGAAAGTTGATTAGAAGAAAGCAATGCAGTATCTTCTTGAAGAACCTACAAAAAGATATGGATTAATTCAATAGATATAAATATAAACGAAGGTAATTAAATAGTAAGTCAACCATGCTGACTTGGTAAACCTTAGAAGAAGTAGGAGCTTCCTCCTGAATAAGATCCTGAGTTCCAGACTTATGTGCATTGTTAGAAAGTTCCTGAATCCCAGAGTCCATTAGGGCTCTAATTCGTTCCTGAGAGGGTAAACATGTAAATGTCATGTTCTTGAAACACACAGTAGTAAAGTGACCAAAATAAAGAATGTCAACACTTGTACAGATAACATCACTAAGCTCCATAATTATTCTCATTTGGCTCAACCATTCCTCAAGATCTATATAGTATTATAGTACTCTTTCTGAGAAGCCATAGAGGATAGTTTAATACCTCGAGCAATGCTTGAACAGAAGGTATATGGCCTCTCTCAGACAGGTCACACAACTCTTTGAAGTGCTCTTCACAGAACTTCTCTCCTGCAAACAGAAATACAGTTCTCATATGCATGTTAAACAATTGAAGCCAAGAGTAACAGGAGAGAGAGAGAGAGAGAGAGAGAGAGAGAGAGAGAGAACACACCAGCCCTACTGAGGTCATCCTCGTCAGCGTTTGCTAATGCAACCGCAAACTGAAAATTCTCATGTCGCGATAATTGCAGTGATGTGGATAGATTGTCTAGGAATGTTTCACTGATGTGAGTATACTTTCTGAAACAGGAAAACACCTTACAGAAGTAAGGCTTTCCTATCAGCTTTTTAAAGATAGAAGCAAATGCAGGTTCTAATGGAGTAGTCTTTAAGTCTTTTTTAAAAATGTTGAAGTGAAGCACGCAGTTTTCAATAAGTAATATACTATCGTCTGCTCCACGTTCGATATACTGCGAAAAGAGAACATTATATCAACTTGAGATGGATGCTTTCCGATATATTGCCAATGTGTCAATGTCATGTTCTATTCTTGCATGTATTTCATAGAACATTTTAAAGCTCCAAGACTTCCATATTTAGAATAGTGAAAAAGACAACAAAAGACTTTCTTATAATATTTATAATCTCCAAAGATACTGGATATAAAAGTTAAACATAGTTTCGGATAAATTTTGAATCGCGAAAGATACGTAACCTAAATACTAGATTTCTACTATAGTATTCTTCCCTCTGAATAATTAAATACAAATCTTATATTGAATTTTCAAACATTAAACTGTTAGAATGTTCATCCGTGTCATTGTCTTCGCAATCACCAGTTGTTATTCCTAGTGGTTCTAGACGATATAATTTAGGAAGAAATGTTTCATAGCTGATAGACAATTAGGAAGAAATGACAACGATAATTAGATGATCAAATAGTACCCTTTGAATAAGTAAAAGATTTAGTAAAAGATAAAACTATGTTTAAATCTTTCAAATATATCTTCCTTTAAATAGCAACCAATGAAGTTAACTGGCACCTTTGACCTTGAATGATAACTGCAAGAGATAGATCACCAAGGAAAGTACTTTCAAAGTACTGGATCAAACAGAATAATCCTCTTTTTATCTATTACTGGACTAGTAGAATAACAAATTAAAATATTATGTTGTAGTTCTAGAATTTCTTAACTCCTGTATTTCATAATTTAAGTTGTTTACCCTTTGAAAACATGTAGTCCTAATGTGCAAAAAGACTCGTATGAAAGTGAAACAGGCATGATAACCATAAAATAATTGCGATAGGCTTACGATTTCATACAATTACATTGTATGTAGGAACCACATGGCAAACTATTTTAAAGTAATGTTCAATTTCATTAATAACAGAAAAAACATGCTTCAAACATATGAAAATTTCCCTTAAGAAATAGTAAGTTTGCCATAACAACATGGTTTTTATATGGAAAACAAGAATAAGGCCACTCGTCAACCCTTCTTCAATGGTAGAAGGGTGAGCAAATGCCTCTTCTTTGATTCAAAATTCGAGCCTTATCAGGTTATAATCGCGTTTTAATGAACACAAAAAACGTGAAGTCAACCAAACCTCAAGAAAATTGTGCTCAACGCCCAAATTTCGTTTCCAATTAAATGTAACACCACTCGGCAATTAACCTCGAAAGCACCAACTCATTCCGAATTAAACCACCAACAAGAACAAATAAAACAGTTAAAAAAATCATAGCTCAAAATTGTTGCTTTCAAAGTGATCTTACTTCCACAAAGATTTCTGCACATCGCGCTCAAAATCTCCGCAGAAAAATACAAAATTTAGGGGTTAATTTAACTTAATAATTAGTGTGTGTCGTGAACAAACAAAGAAACAGATGCGACTAAAATAAACCAGTTAGGGTTTTCAGATACGAGAAATTGGGAAAAAAGTTTATGCCTGAGAGAGTCTGTCAACCACAGAGTCGTAATTTTCTTCGTTCAACTTCTCAAGCAACCTCCGGATTAATTTAGTTAAAGTTCTCTGCGAAGATCGTCTCATGGCGAAAGAAAACAGTTGATGATTGATCGATTGAAGTTTGATTCGCTGATTATAACCAAATTCAGAGCTCTGAATTGAGGTGACGGTGTGAACTGGAAGATTTTGGGAGCACAAGAGCGAACTATGAAAGCAAGAGTAGTGCTAGTCTGTGGGCTTTTGACGTCTATAAATAGGCAATTGATCTCTGGTGCATGGATGTCGAGCAACATAATAAAATCAAATCTTCTCCTTCAGTTATTGAATAATGCAAATCTGGTCCCTCTTCTTTCGGGTTCTTTTCTATGTGCATAATAAAATGGAAAGATGTCAAGAAAGAAAACAAGAAAATAGAATAAAAATGGTTTTAATCTAAGTTTTTTGGATATTTTACCGTTAAACATACAAAAGTTTCCATGAACCAAGAAAATAAATAGATGAATTTTGTAAGAGATTTCCCATTAAGGAAAAATATGATAGATATAAAATACTTTAAGTACTGTTTTTTAGTTTATTGAAATGTTGGATACATTTATTACGGGGTATTAAATGAATATATAATAATATTTACTCCATTTCTCTTTATAAAACTAAATGCCAATATTCTATATATATATATATATATATATATATATATATATATATATATATATATATATATATATATATATATATATATATATATATATATATATATAAAGGTGGGTTCAATTGAGAAAATAAAAAAGGTTGAGAATGAGAGAATCATTATCAACCACTTATTTAATCTAAGAAAAAAATACACGGTGACAAACTTGTAAATATATTAATAAACTTTAATCACAAATACGTAACTATAGAGAATTCGATCACAGTTCATTCATCATCAAAAATTTTCCTCCAACTTTAAATAATCATCCAGATTTCTTCAACTAAACCGAAATTTCTTCATTGTTCATGAAATTGGAATCAGAGTTATAGACTCGCAGTCACAGTCGACATTGAAGTTATGTTTTTAACTTTTAACATATTATACTTAATTTATTAGGTCTAATATGTTGTTGTATGTAAACCATTATCATTTTAAAGCTACAATTTTTGAACAATTTGCTTAAAATATTTAAATTGTTAATTTAAGTATAACTTTACAGGATCAACTTAAATATAAATTTTAGTTCAACTTGAACAACCTAAAAAATATCTTGTAAATAGTTAAAAGTGATAAATTATAGTGACTTTCTAATAATGATTATAAGTTGGTTAATAAGGTTAAATAAGTATCAAATCTAAAGTGCAATCATAAATAAACTAAATTTCAATATTAAAACAATATTTTTACTTCTACTTATAAAGTTATGTCTTTAACTTTTAACATATTATACTTTATTTATTAGATTTAATATGTTGTTGTATGTAAACCATTATCAGTTTAAAGCTACAACTTTTGAATAATTTTGACAAAATACTTAAATTCTTAATTTAAATAAAACATTACAGGATCAACATCAATATAAATCTCAGTTCCACTTAAAAAACCCAAAAAAAATATTTTGTGAATAGTTAAAAGTGATAAATTGTACCGTTAAATACAAAAACTAAATTGTAATATGAATTTAACTAAAATATTCTCTAAAATATTTTTATAATCGTTAAAAGTTTTCAAATAAATAGCATAAAATAACTTACAATAACAATAGTTAAAAATAACTTTATATAAATGATTATATAGTTACCTTTAAAATAAAAAATAAATTGTTTGATGTTTTAAATAATTACAATGGTAGAAATTAAAACATTAAGCAAATAAATTTTAAAAAATTAATTAATAATAACAACAACTATAAATAACATTAAACCATATATTATATTTAATTTTATTCATGAGTAATCCACGGGTAGAGGTCATTCAAAAGATTGAGATTGTGCAGTTTTAATAAATATATATATTATCATATAATTTAAAATAATCAATATATTATATCAACTTAGTATACAAATTATTATATCAAATTTAACAACAACATTATTGTTATATTTAAAAAAAACATATATTTGTAAATATTTCAACTATGTAGATGCTTCTGCGCAACGCGCGGGCATTCGTCTAGTGTGTGTGTGTGTGTGTGTGTGTGTGTGTATATATAGAGAGAGAGAGAGAAAGAGAGAGAGAGAGATAGATAGAGAGAAATAAATATTAAATCATTAAATAAATCTACAAGGGTATATTAGTAATCCTAGCTATGATTAATTATGGTAAATAAATAAAATCAATAAATATCCCATTGAATTAGGAATTAGTTTGCACAATCTTATAACATTACCATCCAATTCATGTTTTTTCTAAAAACAATCAGTTCAAGGGGTAACTACTACCCTGTTTCAACTTAGGGCTTGCTTCCCTCTTTGCATCCATCTCTCGTTCTCCGATCGGCACCCCGCACCTCTACGGTATGGAAGCCCCCGTTTCCCTCTTTTCATCCATCTTTGTTTCAATTTTGATTTTTTGATGGTGCTTCAGTTCTTCCAGTACATCAATCGCAATTTTAAATCTTAGTTTTTTTTTTATGTCTCTTACTTATTGATGTTGATGTAATCTACCGATCACCATGCAAGTGTTTCATTTCAATATCGTTTATTTTTTTAAGGAAATTTGGTCCTGGTAATGAGTAATTGATTGTTGTAATATTAAATATCGGCAAATACGAGATAAATTTGATAATACATTGGTTTCACATACATAGGAAACAGTTACCATATGTTAATGATAAGGAAGTCCTAGATAACTATGTTCAAATGTTATCTTGAATTTTGGTTAATTCGTAGAATTCTAAATGGTGATTTGTAATATAAAAGATATTTTAAAAATTTTCACTTGTAGTTGTGTTTTACAAGATTGTTGCTATTATTACATCCTACTAATATGACATCTAGATACTTTTAGTGAAAGTTTTCGACAAATCTTATGTTAATCGTGATTGTGGTTTTAGAGAATGTGATTATTAATTAATTAAAATCCATTATTTTATTAATTTATTAGTGCCATATTTTTTATATTGGTTACAAGCTTAAGCAATACAAAGTCTTTATTGGATTTTTTTAATATCCGAATGTCTATTATAATTTGATATCAATCTTCTTATTTGTCAACGTATGAAAAGTAAAAAGCATTCCAAGATAGGAAAAGTAAAAAAGTATTCTACTTGAATACACTATCATTCTCCATTGTATATTTTCCATTAAATAAGTAATGTTTGTAATCATCAAAAAGAATATTCGACGATTCATCACAATCAGTTATGATTAACAATCTGTCAAATTGTCTTTAATAATGTTTGTTAACAAGTATATTTGCTTAACTGGTAATACTAATGAGTAATGCATGTTATTCTTTCAAAATGGCTTGGAGAAGGAATGCATATTGATCATATAAGAGAAAGAAAGAAATTGATACCATTATTAAAGCCAATGAACCTCAAAGCTTGACAATTGTGTTAGATCTTCAAAAACATTAAGAAAGGCGAAACTTTTTTTACTCAAAATATTATTGTTCAATATTTCTATCAAACTTTTCATAAAATAATAGTGAATCTCACTTTCATAAATCACATGGTCCTTTGTATTATGTTTTAATTAAGATTTGATTGGATTACATAATATGTTGTGATTTAATATTTTATTAGATCGATTCTTTAATTTTTGATTATCCTTCCTATTGATTTCCGATTTCACTAGTGTACCCACCGTGCTCTCATTCTTCTTTAATTTTAAATACCCATCATTCAGGTTGATGTTGTAATTTAGAATCTGACTTAAATAATGATAGATTGTTCTTGATTTTCTATTTACTTGATTGTTTTTTTTTCATATCAGAATGCAAACACATATTCTTTCTATGAGAATATAAATATTACATAAAACATGTGTTGCTAGTAATTCTAACATAATACATTTATACATGCTTTAGAATGTTTATGCATATAGAAGCAAAAACTATGATTTTAGTGCATTCTATAATGTATTCTGTTAGAATTTATTTATATACATGCATTCTGTTAGAATGTCTTTTGAGATTGTTTGTTAACAACAAGTATATTTGTTTAATTGGTAATACTAACGAGTAATGTATCTTATTCTTTCAGAATTGTATGGAGGAGGAATTCAATATTGATCATACAAGATAAATATTTAGAATTGAGTTCAACAACAAGTATATATGTGAATATCAAGTGGATTATATGGACCACTGAAGAAGATCAAGTGTATTTGTTCAATAATTGTATATTCAGGAGTGCTATTTTGTAAGAATTTTATTCATTTTTGATGATATTCTGTTAGAATATGTATAACTATATTAAAATGTATAACGATATTAGTCTGTAACAATATGTATGAATTTATATTTTATTTCGGATGTGTATTAGGAATAAAATAATAGACCCAACTTGGATGTATATGAATAATATCAAGAATTCTTAAATCATGTTAATTATCAAAAACATTTGCATTGGAAATATATTCTGCAAAAATTAAATCGAAAATATATTTACTAGTTTATGGTTGGAATTCTGTCATTTTAACAAAATAAAATCAGATTTTAAATTTAAACTAATATAAATTATTCAGATTTATAAAAATGACGGAACTAATTATCCCTAAAAATATGAAAATTTCCTTTTTTAGTATAGGTTAATTGAATACCTCCGCCTCAAAAACCATGGATACCTCCGCCTTTGTCGATTATAAAGCTATTGATCTTGATTCATGATGCTTTTCTGATATTCTATTATAAATGACGACTTCCTATCCACACTCAGTAATATACAAATCATTGATGGGGAATACATGAATGAACAGATCAACGGATCATTGGAGATTAATGATCTACAAAAATCACCGTTAATTTCCTCAACAATCACCACTGATTTCAATCGAATGCACAAACTTGAGGTTAATGCATCTTTTTGCTTCTCTCACTTGTCAACGCTTCACGTATTTAGGTATTATTATGCTAGAATTTGTTGCCTATCTCCTTAATTATTTTGCTAGAATTTGTTGCCTATTTTGGTGATTATAAAATTTACTTCCACGTTAATGTTCAGAGTGGAGAAGAAGTAGAAACAAAGAAAAGTGATAAGACTTCTTCCTATAATGACAATAACAAAGGAAAATGATTTTTAGCAATTAAATTGAGATTATGTTCATTTTATTAGTGAAACTAATTATCAGAGGGAGTGGTGTATACAATCGCAGAAGT